AGTGTAGGCCTTTTGGGCTTCCCTGTGTTATGTTGTGAAGAGAGTAAATGTTCATGTATTCCTGACACCCTCTGTTGCTACGTGTTGCAAAGGGAAATTAGCAATGGTAGACAAGGACAGCTAATTCTTTCATGGTTGCACTTTTCATTGAAAAACTGTATGAACTCCAGAGCTACAACAGAACACAATTTGAAACCCATTGCTCCGGTATAAATCTCAGAAGCAAAATATATAGCAATTAAGTTAAAACATGAAGAAACTGGTGTGCCTGGATAGTTTCCTCATGTTCTAACTCTTTTAGTCTTTTTCTTTGGTCTGAACTTTCTGTCTTCCCATTCACATAACAATCATTTGACAGTCTTCTGCATAAGCATGGCTTAAACCACCTGGAAACTATATAACAGACCCCCTAAAGAGAGTGTAGGAGGGGCATTCACATTACCACCTCAACCCATGAATGCCACAAGCTTTAGTCAATCAGTTTTGAGCTGCATGCCCTGAAGACTCTAACTGGTCTAATTTCATGCAAATAGAATTTTGTGCTCTGATTGTCACTGTTGTTTTTTGAAATGTATTAGCTTGCTAAAAGCTAATCCCAATGTGCCTCTTAATCCAAGACCTGTGCTTCTTAGCCCAAACCTATGGTTGTCATAGCTAGAGCTAGTCATCTGAAGAGTTTGTGTGTGTAACAGAGAGAGAGAGAGAATAAGTCTATGCAAATAGGTTGACACTGTTGCTAGGCAGTTAGAGATGTACTTCTGAAATAGTTGCTGGCAATTCCCAGTATGCTCTATTGATTTGTCTCTGCGTTGTTCCTTTGAATCAAGATAAAGAAATAGGAGGAAACCTTGACAGTGATTTGTAAGGGAATTTTTCTGAATGTCATAGGCTCACTAGAGGGTTTAATAATAATGTGGAGATAGCTGTAGAGCAATAATACAATGTGATGGATACAAGGTCTGTGGAAGACTGCAGCTGGGATGTGTCTTTATTTACTTAAAATTATATTTAGGGTACCTTTAGGGGTAATATCCATACAAGGTACCCTGATATACATAATCCACTGAGCTGCTACACAGCTACTACTTATCTGCCGTGCATCGAATGCCCGCTATGAGAACTTCCTTGTCATGTTCAAATCACTTCCTACTGAGGTTTAGGCTTCCCGCCCTTTTTCCATTCTGCAAGTGTGGGAGGCCAATTAGATTTGTCTGCCCCTGGAGTATAATGGATCTAAATGGCCCCCAGCAGGCTCTGAGGGAATTTCCAGGTGATATGGCTGGCACTTCTGTTGAAGCTCAAGTCGCTCTGTGCAATGCAGGGATGGCCCAGGTAGCTGACATGATTGCACCCAAGTGCCCTCTTCCTCTGGGCAGAGTCCAACCAGTCCTTTGGTGTATACCAGAGCTAAAGGAAATGAAGCCAGAGGGGAGAGGGCTAGAACACAGGCCAGGCAAGCGACTCTTGCTGAATCTAACCAAACACAGGTTGGAACTCCTTACTGGGCCTATTCCATGGCAGTGTGGGTAGCAAAGAAGCCGCGCTTTTCCACCAGCACTGCAGCGTCTCGGTGCCTTCCAGCAGAGCTCTTCCAAATGGTTCATGGCCTTTTACAATCAGGGCCAGAGATAGATACCATTGAACCCTTGCTGTGATAAGTTTGCACAGCACTTTGAGGACTAAATTGTTCAGATTCAACATGAATTGGATTCCACAGTTAATGCAGTTCCATTAACATAGGTATCTAGAACACTGTCTCATTCCATTTTGTTAGATGAATTTCCGTTATTGGGACCTGAGGAGGTGGACAAGGTGCTTGTGCAGATTTAGCCTACCACCTGTATGCTTGACCCTTGCTCATCATGGCGGAATAGTAAAACTAAAGAAGGAATTTGTATCCAGGTACAGGAGGCTGTGAATGACAACTCAAAAGAGGAAGTACCAACCTCTTTTAAGGAGGTTGTGATTAATCCATTCTTTTAAAAGCCAAACTTGAACCAAGGGAATGTGAATAATTATAGACCTGTCATGAATATCCCCTTCCTAGACAAGGTGTTTGACAGGTGTTGGCCACACAGCTTCAAGTACTCTTGGATGAAATAGATTACCTAGATCCATTTCAATCAGGTTTCAGGCCTGGTTTTGGAATGGAAACTGCCCTTGTCATCCTGTGGGATGACCTTTGCTGGAAGAGACGGGTAGTGTGCCCCTGTTAATTCTCCTAGACTGCTCAGTGGCTTTCCATACTAATAAACATGGTATCCATCTGGATAAGCTGCTAGAGTTGGAGTCGGAGTCATTATTTTGCAGTGGTTCCTCTCCGACCTGTCTGGCTGATTCCAGAAGGTGGTGCTGGGGGATTATTGCTCTGAGTCATGGCAGTTATGCCATGGAGTTCCACAGGGCTCTATTTTATTCCCCATGCTCTTTAACATCTACATGAAACCACTGGGGGAGGTGATCTGGAGGTATAGGCTCAAGTGTCAGCAAGAAGCAGATGTCACTCAGCTCTATCTCTTCTATTCATCAAATCCAGGAGAGGGAGTGGCTGTTTTGAATCAGAGCCTGGGCCTGGTAATGGACTGGATGAGGCCAATGAGGTGAAACTTAATCCAGGCAAAAACCAGATACTGTTGGTAGATGGTTTGTCTGTCCAGCTGGGAAGTATTCAACCTGTCCTGCATTGGGTTGCACTCCCCCTAAAGGACAGGGTTCATAGCGTGAGAGTGTTTCTATAACCTGAATTGTTACTAAAATCACAAGTGGACTCAGTGACAAGGAGCATCATTTATTTATTTATTTATTTATTTTTCGGTTTATATCCTGCCTTTTTCCTACAAAGGGCTCAAGGCAGCTTACAACTCCTCCTCCATCTTATCCCCACAACAACAACCCTGTGAGGTAGGTCGGGCTGAGAGTCTGTGACTGGCCCAAAGTCACCCAGTTGGCTCTATGGCTGAGCGGCGACTAGAACCCAGATCAGACTGATTTTCTAACTGCAGTCCTCTCTGGACAGGCAGAATATAGCAGCAGTGATCCACACTCTGATGGCCTGTCATCTGGACTACTGTAATGTGCTCCATGTGGAGCTACCTTTGAAAATGATCCATAGATTTCAATTGATTCAAAACAGAGCTGCAAGGCTGCTAATGGGGACTGGCTGGCATGAACACATTGATGACACTAGTTGCTGACTGAAGCCTGGGTCCGTTTCAGAATGCTAACATTAACATTTAGAGTTCTAAATAGTTTGGGGTCAGGTTATCTGAAGGAATGCCTCCTTCTGTACATGCCTATCAGAACCCCACATCATCAACAGAGGTCCTTCTCAGCCCCCTCCAACGTTGCGAGGAGGGTGGCTACTACAGGAAGGGCCATCTTGGTTGTCTCCCCCCCATCCATGGAATCAGCTGCCCAGAGAGGTGCAACTCATGCCCACACATCATTCTTTTCAGCACCACGGCCCCTTTTATGTTCCCAATATTTTAATAGTTAGATTTTTATTTCCATTTTACTGTATTTTACAACTGCACCACTAGAGTGATTTCGCTGTAGTCATGGTGGGCAAATCTTTTTTTTTTGTATTATTGTATTTATACTAATTGTATTGTAATTTAAAAATGAGTGGTTTATATTAATCATTATATCTTTTGATTTTTGTGAACTGTCCAGGGAGGTTTTCGCCTGATAGGCAGTGTAGAAATATAATAAATAAATAATGAACAGCTGATGGCACCTTTCCCTTCAATGACTTTAGCTACATCTTGGAATGATTCTGCTATAGCTAGTTAGGGCAGGCTTCTGTGCAGGGAACCAATGGAAGTTGAATCATAGAAACAGAGAAACAGAGCGAGTCAGAAGGGGTCTCCCAGGCCATCTAGTCTGACCCCTGGCTCCAGCTGGCTCCGCTCATGACATGCCCACCATGTACATGTCTAGCCTATCCTTGAACACCCTCACCAATGGGGCCTCAATCATCTCCCATGGAAGCCCATTCCATACCCTTGGGGTCCTAACTGTCAGGAAGTACTTCATGGCATCCAAATGGAACCTTGGTTCTCGGAGCTTCGTGCTGTTGGAGCACATTCTGCCCTCCTCTGCAGGGGAGAACAGGTCTACCCATCTCCGTGTGACACCCCCTCACGTACCTGTATGTCACCAACGTATCCCCTCGGAGCTCCTCTTCTCCAGGCTGAAGAGACCCAATTCTCTCAGTCTCGCCTCATACCCCATCCCCTGCAAAGCGGCCACCAACCTTGTGGCCCTACGCTGCACTGACTCTAACCTGGCTATATCCTTTTCTGTAATGAGGGGCCCAAAACTGAGCACAATACTCCAGTTGCGGGCGCACCAGAGTCATATAGAATGGTAGTAATACCTCTCTCGATCTAGAAGCTACACTTTTGGCTATGCAGCCAAGGGTGGCGTTCGCCCTCTTGACCACTGCATCACACTGCTGACTCATGTTTAGCCTGCAGTCAACCAGCACCCCAAGGTCCCTTTCACAAGTGCTGCTTTCCAGCCACTTGTCCCCTAACTTGTACTTTTGACACCCATTCCTATTTCTATCAGTGTTTGCTTTGGAGCAACCATGTGGTGGTAGGTGAGTGAAAGGGTTACTGTCACCTCCACAAGCATAATCAATGAGATGGACAGATCAGGAAGAAGATAAATATTTGAAAACTTAGATGAATAAAAAGACATTTAAAAAATAAACATCCTTACCATGAAGGTTCTTGGAAAGAAATGACAGATATTTGAGTTGACCACACACACTCAATGTCTTATAAGTCGCAGTTTAATGATGTGCTACCTGTTTAACACTTCAGCTGGGCCTTTTGAATTTTTATACAAACTCTGAAACTATTTCACTTTGATTCTTATGAACATGCATTTTAAGTTTTAGATGCTTTAATTATCAGTATCTGTGCTTATACTTGGCTTTTATAAATGTCATTTATACATGAGTAATCAGCTGTTTCCCTCTCCCCCATTTTCAGAGAAAATGAAACAAAAAATATTGGCAGGTCATTTCAGAGTCAAAATGAATCAAACTACTTTCCAAATGCCAGTGAGGAAACAAATGGTAAGAAGATTTACGGGAATAACTTGTGCTGTTATTAAAGAGACCACAAAGTGTTATCCAGATGTAAACAGTGCCAGTCTCTATCCTGAGATAGCATAGCAGTCAAATTTTAGGAATCATTAGATGCTACTGGGTATGCTTGAAGAATTTAATCTGTGCAATTCCAGATATGAAGAGACTAGTTCTATGACTCCTAGGTCAGGAGTCTCCAAATGGTTTGGGCACATCTGGGAACTTGAGAAATTGCTGTTGATGCCACCACAAAATGGCTCCCATGATGGATCTGGCTAGACACATAATGACTGTTGTCTGGACCTGTCTCGTCAGAAGTGAGCTAAAGAGGTGAAGTTGGGTGAGAAATATTATGGCTAGGAGCTGGAAATGGAATAAAATTGTGAGGTAGTGGAGAGAGGAAGAGCAAGTTTAGAGGCTAGAAAGGGAGAGGAAGAAGGCAGCTCTAATATTTTCCAAGGTTTTTTCAAAACAGTTTTTTAAAGGGGGATGGGAATAGCTTTAAAAGGAGGTTTCTGTAGGTACCTTATTGGAAGCCCTGTCATAGACAAATATGTGGACTGAAATTTAAGTTATTCTCAAGTCTTTCAAGTTTTTGAAGATTTGCAGACTGGTATAATTATTGACTACAAATGTATCAAACTTTATTTAGAAACATAGAAACAGAGCGAGTCACAGAAGTTGTCTCCTGGGCCATCTTGACTGACCCTGGCTCTGTTCATGACATGCTTACCATGTGCATGTCCAGCCTATCCATAGAAGAAAATTTAAAATGCACTTAAGAAAAATCCATTTGAAATGCCTATTAAAATGGAAGTTTTTTGTGTGGATTTTAAAAAATCCTAGGTTAACGTAGAAACAGACTTATCAGTGAATACATGTAAAAGTGTTACAGACTGAGAATAATGGACACCTCCCAATCTTAGATAAACTCCCGTGTATTCATTGCTATTCCAAAATTATTATGGATGCTTTCTATTCTGTGTTCTCACTCCCTCATATATATCAGAAAACCCTCTTCCCCCACACCTCTAAAATTGAACTGGAAAAGATGAGCAAAATCCATCCATTGGCCAGTCTGTATTTAATCTGTTGGGAGTGAGAGGGATCACTGCTATGGGGACTCATTCTTAAAGGTCTGCTGGCTGAGATTCATCAGAATGAGAATGTGAAACTGAAAGGGAGAGGGTTGGGTCATACCAAGACGCTAAACTGAGAGAAGCAGAGGCACTTATCTCAAGGCCAGACTTCCCAGGTAGACAGGCAGTTCCTGGGAATATCCAAAATACCCAGCTGGCAGGAGGGGATCCTGAACATGGGAGTTTATCAGACACCGGCCAGGCAGCCCTGGCTCTTGACACCATGATGAGGCATTAGCGGAGGAGGGCAGCCCAATTAGAGGAGGTATGCTTTCTTTCAGAAAGCCCCTCCTGAAGAAATGGGGCCCAGGCACGCATACAAGGAGAGTTCCTGGAAGTGAATACCAGATGGGTTCAACAAACTGCTCTGTGCATGCTCAGAGATTCATTCTGGGTGATTTGTGCTTTTGGGTCAATAAAGGATGGTTGGCAAGGAAAATGGTCTGTGGCTCTTTGAAGAAGCCCTGATGGGTTACACCCAAGGGTACTTCAGGAGTTGGTGGGGGTTCTCTCACGCCCTCTGGCCTCCATTTTGAGGCCTCGTGGCAAATGGGTGAGGTCCCTGAGGACTGGAGGGTGGCGTCAGTGGTCCCAATTTTCAAAAAGGGTAGTAGAGGGGACATGGAGAATTACAGACCAGTCAGCCTTATGTCCATTCCAGGAAAGACAATGGAAAGGCTTATAATAGCAAGAGATCCAGTAACCCTAGATAGGGAGGGAAGGTTGGCAGTGGATGTGGTTTACCTGGATTTCAGCAAGGCCTTTGACAAAGTGCTGCATGATATCCTAGTTGAGAAATTGAGGAGTTTGGGGATAAACCAATGCACTGTCCAGTGGATTAGGGCATGGTTAATGAACCGAAAGCAGAGGGTAACTAGTGAGATTCCCCAGGGCTCTGTCCTGGGACTAATCCTGTTCAATCTTTTCATCAATGACCTGGAAGAGGGGGTGAGCAGTCTACTGATTAAATTTGCAGATGTTACTAAAATGGGGGTGGTGACCACAACTGAGGAGCAGGTTTTCCAGATTCAGAAGGATCTGGACAGACTATGGAAGTGGGCAGGGGACAACAGGATCACATTCAATGTGGATAAGTGCAAGGCCTTGCACTTGGGCCCTTCTGTCTCACTCTGTTTCTATGTTTCTAAGGAACCTCAGCTCCTGACATAATCACACCGGCTGTTACATTACTGACCTGGCATGCTTTTCTTTTATATAAATTGAAATATTTAATGCAGTTGCACTCTGCTTTAATAATTTAAGGGGTTTTCTCCCAAAAAAACAAAAATGGTAAAATGCAATTTAGAATGATAATGTGAGAAGTTGATTAAATACATTACAATTTGCAGCAGCAGAAACAACACAAGACCAAAGTGTCTCTCTCCATTCCATGACGGAAGGCTTGCTGGAATTAGAGTTTTAATCCACTCCACAATATCACAAGACCCTCTTGAGAACCTTTACCTCTTATTAGGAAAAGGAACTGCATGACCTTCACTCAGTTGCACTAAAGGACCTGCAAGATATCTTGTCCTCCGGCAGTGTAGGCATTTACAGCAGGGTCCATTCTGTGGAAGATACGGCATCTGTGTTCATATGGGAGGCAGTGTGTGGTTCCCAGCCATTAAGAGTTTTGAAGGTTCCTGGCACTACCATACCTAGAAAAAGAATATGACTCATGACAGTCACTTGAGATAAATTGCTGTGCATAAGAACATGGTGCAGTCTGAGGTGTTACCCTTTTCCTCTTCTCTTTCATTTTTTTTTTCACACAAATGCAGTTTCTATAGCTGATGTAATGGCAGATGGCCTTCTTCAAGATAATACTGCAAATGAAGTCATGTCACAAGAGGTTATAATTGGGACTACAGTAGACGAAGAATGTTTGCAGATGAATACATATTCAAGCTTGCCAGTAGAGAACCCCAAGGAAGAAGAAGGGCCAGTAAAGATGGAGGAAAATAATTCCGCCAGATCTCCCTCCATATTTGAATTGTATGGGTTATGTCCTGGCTGGATCAGTGCATTTTATGGTCCAGACTGTTTTAATATGGAAGTTCTTAACTATGTTAGAAAGCTTGGAAAGAAGAAAACTAATGGAACTCAAAATATAGATGCTAAAAAAGTGGTAGGTACCAATTTTCAGGACTGAATAGCTTGTTTATTTTCGAGTAAGGATGCAATAATGAAAGTAGGAAACTTTTCTAAAGCTAAACCTACTGCCCTCTGGATGTTTTGGACTACAGTTCCTTTATTCTATGACTCTTGACCATGCTGACTAGCCCTATAGGTTTTAGCGTCTGAAAAATCTGGCAGGTACCAGATCAGGTGTGTTCTTCCACTGCCTCCAGTCTTTACAAAATAAGGTTCTGTTGGCGTTACAGTCCCCACTCTTTCACGACTGATGCTTAGTGCCAGTATATGTTGTAGAGTGAAGGAGGGAATCTCAGGGTTGGGAGCCATATTGAGGGTCCCAGTGACCCTCTAGAATTGCGCATCTGGCCATGATCCTGTCCTGTAACTATTGATCATTTGGTGGTTTCCCAGCTTTTAAATAATTTCCCCTCCATTCTAAAAGGTTGAGATGCCTCTCCTAAGACTTGGCTACAAGATCTTTGCATTACAAAGAGTTGGCATTTTTGTACTTTTTACTCCTTTTGCCTTGGCCTCTGACCCCACCCTTCACTGGAATGCAGGCCTAGGAAGCATCTCTAAAATAGAATTTGGGCCTCAAGATTTAGGCTTAGTGCTAAAACACCTTGGTAGAACATGGAGAATAACCTATTCCATGTAGACTGAGATGGTTGATTACCACAAATATCAAGACCCATTGGCAATGCTATCTGAACTGTTTTACTGTCTATCTATTTACTGTCTGTTTATTTATCTGTTTACTGTCTGTCTATCTGTCTATTCTGAACTGTTTACTAGACTTTCAGTACCAGCTAGTATCAAGAGGTGTTTGTAAAGTCTTACAGTGAAACTTCTCTTTTGGGAACAGTTGAGCTCACAGAAATGAAGCACTCTTGATACACAAATCTGCCTTTGGTGGTCAAGCATTTAACAGACACATTATTTAGGGACATGTCTTAATTGAAATCTTTGAAATCTTTGAATTTTGATTTTGAGTGAAATCTGTTCTGTTCTGAACAGTTCTGAGTCTATATCAACTAGTTATACAGATAGAATACTATTAATTTATCACTTGATATTCTTATAAAAAAAACCCTGAAGAATTTTCAGGCACCTCTAGCTTCAGAGAGAGCTTAGCTTAGCTGGTCAAGAGATGATGGCTCATTCTTTAACAGATCAAAGGCTTATGTTGAATTAAACATAAGGATTTTTTTTCCATCCAAAAAGACAACTGGCTTAGCATTGACTTTTGTTGGCTGAATTCTCACTTATCGTTTCCTTTGCAAAATGCTTACCAGCATCATCCAGACATACTATCACAGTGCGACACTGTAAATGATATTGCAGTTTACAGTAAGTGTAGTGTCCATTAGGCTAGATTATTTTATTTTAAAAGCTTTTCATTATGATATCAGATACGGTGCTTGCTGACTTGATTTCTACTATCTATACTTAAAATGCTCAGTTTTATTATACAACTACATGCATGTCATCCACTTTTCTCATTTTTCATGTGTAGGCTCAGGGTACCATCCACAGGGCCCAGCAGGGAAAATGTGCACCAGGGCACCTGTGTCTTCTTTGCACAGAATTCCTGCTCATCACTTGATAAACTATTTTTGAAACTTGGGAAGTCTCTGAATGATTAATTTTTAATTTACTTTCTCCACACTGTAAGAACATATACTATCTACCAGCTCAAGGAAAAATTATAGCCTGTTTCATTTTGTTCAACTGGTTAGAGGCCCCAGATGGAGATGCATAACCTGGTCCACCTCAGATGTTTTCAGAAAGAGAGTTAAACACCCTTATCATGTACATCAGGTGTCAGCTGTATGCACAGGTCTCTCTTGTAGGATTGGGGAACGTGTATTCTAGGATGGGTTGTATGAACTACAGTGGGTCTACTTCATACTTACATAGAGCAATATATCATTCTTAATTTTTAAAATTATTTTTGTTATGCTCTCATTGGTTGATTGTTCTTTTCAGCAATGGGAAAGAAAATTATAGCCAATTCAACAAATCTCTGAAAAGCTTCAGGAAAAAATCTCTTAGGAAAGCAAACAGCAAAACATGGGTTCTTGCAATGTGAAAGCTGCTTTTTGGTATCTTATGACAGACCCATGGGATGCAATTTTTTAAAAGATCATTATCTAGTGTATGATCAGGGATTGTTGGATTTTCTCTTTCTTTCTCTCTTTCTTTCTTTCTTTCTCTCTTTCTTTCTCTCTTTCTTTCTTTCTTTCTTTCTTTCTTTCTTTCTTTCTTTCTTTCTTTCTCCTTTTCTAAAAAATTTTTGTAAATACATGATTTTGTACCCTAGTTGAATTTGCCTTCAGTTGAAATCAAAGATACAGTTGGGAACAACCTACAAACTTGTTCTACAGCGGAAAGTAGGTTATATTATGCATAATATAACTAATGCCATCAAAGATTTGAAGGGTAGTTTTCAGAGATATACCAAACTGGACTTGGCTTATTGGCTTAAATACCTATTTTTCTCACAGTGTGCTCTGGCAGAGTCATACAGTTAAAGTCCAATAAATTATGGTTTATCTTAATGGAAACTACGCATGTTTTATAGCCTTCCTCCTCATCCTTTCCCTCCCCCTCTTTTATATACCTCATTTTGGCAAAGATACACTCATTTCTTAATCCCCCATTTTCATGTTCTTTGATATTTGATCATGAAAATGACGGCTTCACACCAGGAGTTAGTGGATTAGATCTTGAATTAAAGCAAGTCCTTAACCCATACTTTCCATTTTCAAATGTCACAGGGATTGAAATGTGAGGAGTTGGGAACATGCAGAAAGAACATTTGTTCCCAGTCTGATAAACCAATTGGACTATGGTTGTTGAACTATCAGACCTATATGACTGCCTGCTCAAAATGTGACAGGATTTAGTGTATACATTCCTTTGAAAAAGAATACAAAAGCATCATATGAAACCAAGTATGAAAATGAATTTATATTAATATGAGTTTGCAATTGGATGATGCTTATTAAATCCAGCTTCTGCTTATCAGAAATTTGCCAAAAGAAATCATAATTGCAAGATTACCTTCACTCTTCTCTATCCTTCCCATTAGGAACTTGAACAGTTGATAATGATTGAGACAAAAAATTATAGAAAGAGTGTAAAATTCTACCAGAGGCTGCTGCATAAAGAGAGAAGCAGCAAAGGTATATTTGTAGTTTCTAAACTTCAGAGTTACACTGTAGCAATTATGCTTCTTGCTGGTGGAGCAAAGCTGATCCTCGCTCTGCTTTTTAAATCTTGAGGTGGTGAAGTGAAAGCAATGCTGCCCAGATTGAAGGGACAGCTAGAAGAAATGAAATCAAAGGTACAGTTTCTTGAACTGGTGAAGAAGTATCTTCAGGTAATTCTTTGATTATTACACATTGGAAATTGATACCTGCTGTTTCTATATCTGTGCAAGTGATAAAGATACAAAGTGTTCATATGTTCAGTGTTGGAGAAATAAGTGAAAATGTCCAGTGTAGCATTATTCTTAATTAGACAGATACTGAAAGTTGAATTCCTCTTCATTAACACTGTTCTCTTTAGTTTAATTTTCTTAGTCTCTATTCCCATAATAGTAAGTATGGATGACCACTGCCAGAAACTGGGCACTAAACTATGTCTTGGGTGGGAAATGTGTGTCCCTCCAGATGATGTTGGACTCTAAATCTCATCAGCCCCAGACAGCAGCATCAATGGTGATAGGAGTTGTAGTCAAATGATATTTGGAAAGCCATATGACTACCATACCATGTCCTCCTAGCCCTTGAACTATCTATGGAACAACTGCTGCTCTAGTTCAGCATTGAGGGACCTCTGTGAACACAATGAGAGTACCTGCGTGCAGTTTGTGTCCTGTGTATTCCTAGTATTCTTGTGTTCTTTTCCCCACCCCTACATTGTTGGAGGTGGCTTGCCCTTAGTGCTATTTTGTCTGCCTTGTCCCCTTTTGCTGCAGATTATGTATATAGAAAAATGGGGAGTTGAAACATGCAACCTGATTGCAGTGGCTAACTTGGCAAGAAGCAAAATCCCACCCATCAGCTCCTTGGACTGCATGCTCCTTTTCTATAATATAAATAAGACCCAATGTAAAGACAATCAAAAGCCATCAAGAAACCTACAAGCTGGAACACCAGTTGGACTAATGGCATATCTCTACTCCAGGTACAGCCCATTCTATAATCCTACAAAAGATGAGTCTTCCTTACCTAGTTGTTTAATGGAAAGGAAGAGTCATTCTAAGCTCAAGACCATTTCATGTGCTTTATGTGGCTTGGAGAACATTGGAAACTGCCTTATATGAACTTAGAACATTGATTGGTCTAGTTGTTCATTCTGCATGCTAGTGTTAGGGAATCCCATCTAGCCTGAGGTCCAAATTTCATTTTAGAGAAACTCAGAGTAACAACCTTTCAGTGGTGGGCAGTTGTTCAGTTGCAAAGTAGCGCCTGACTCCTCGTGACCCCACAGGCAACATTCCTCCAGGCTCTCCTGTCCTCCACCGTCTCCCACAGTCCAGCACAACTCCACACCCACCACCCCAGTGGCCCCATCCACTCTACATCAAAAAGTCCGGAACCAAAAGGTTTTAGAAATGCCAGGATGTGTGCAAGCAAAGTTCTTGCTGCCAATAATTAAGCTTTAGGAGATGCATTCCAGTCCTTTAGGATGTGGACAAGTGTTTACAAACAGCAGGAAACTACGTACCCTGTGATGAGCAGTTGGAGGAAGGGAAAGTGGGCATGGCCATCTGAGGAGCCCTGGGGCCCACCTTGCTCAACACTTACTGGCAGTAGCTTTCTGGAATTCCAGGAACAATTGTTTTTCAGTGTTGCTATGTTTCAGTCAGTAGTGATGGAATAGAAATGCTTCCCAGTTGATAAATTGTCCTTCCCCTTCTCCCCAAGTTGTGAAGGGGACTTTTGTATGTCTGCATGCAGGGCTTTTTCCCTTCCTTTTCCAGTTATGGAGGAAGAGAAACCCCAGTCTACCTGAATTTGGGATCAGAGCTCTCCAAAGTTGTCCTTGATCAAGTTAGTGACATAATTGGTAAATAAAAGTGCAAATACAAAAGTTCAAATAACTTGCAGAAGAGCCAGGATTAGAAGGAGAATAATGGCTGTGGAAAACTGCAAACTAGACTGTCTATCCATTCTGCTACTGTACCAAAGCAAAGAAGAGAAGAGAAGCTAACATGCCACATCACCTACTTTCAGCAATTCTTCTGTTTAGGCACAGAAAAGGAGGGCTCTGTCTTTCTTGCTGTGACAGTTGGGGCAAGAGGGAGTTGGCATGTTTTCTGTTGTGTCATGGCTAGGGAACACAAGTGGAGAACTTATTTTCTTGAAATAGTGTTTTATTTTTATTTTTTTCCTGCCTTGGATTCCAACAGGAATCTTATTAGTGTTTTGCTCATTACGTAATTGCTGCCAGGGTACATTGGCAGATATCCTAGATCTTGTCAGTTCCTCAAAATGTAGGATTTTTTTTAAATGTTACTAATTTTTGAGCATACAGATTCCTTCTCCCACCCCTATTTTAAAAGATAGAAAATACAAGAAATCAAATGACGTAGTAGTTGAATTAATTCACTTTCACTCTTCCTTCTTTCCTTCTTGTTCCAAGAAAGTGTACTTCAGCTTATAAAACTGACTTTTTTTTCCTCTGTAGAAATGCATTTTTAGAAGGCTATGTACATCAGTTCCTCTTCATCTTTCGCTATTTCTGCACACAAGAAGAACTTTTGCAATTTCTTCTTGATAGAATCAGGATCACCTTAGCTAAGTATGTTGAAATCATTTTGAACTTAGAAAATTTTCAGTTTCACTGTGGGCATATTACAGGCCTTCCCTCTATTTCCTCACATTTGTGGATTTATTGTTATTTTATTTGCTTTATTGTTATTTTATTTAACTGAAAGCATCTACTTAACTTAGGTGGGATTAATACATTTTCTTATGAAGTAAAATTTAAAGTTTAGAAAATGGGTGTTATCTATATTTTTCATGCTTTTATGTTTTGCTTAATGTCCAAAGAAAATAATAAATTGTTTCTGTTCTTGAAATGATAAGCTAAGAAAGACCATCCTTTCAAATATTTTACATAATTATACAGAAGAGAATATCTAAATGTCATTTATTCACTAGCTTTTCATTTTTCTTAGTTCAAGCCCTGACTCTTGTTCATTGCTTAGCAAAATATACCACCGCAGTTTCTCCATTCTACAGACTTGGATTGAAGACTGTTACACTGTAGACTTTACAATAAACCCTGGCTTTATGAGTACACTAAAAGACTTTATCATTTCCAAGGTAATTCACAGTTTTGACAGGTAGCTTAAGGTAAATGTCATCTAAATCAAAGTGAGTTATGGTGTGCAAGATTGCCACAGCACTGTAAGAGAATTTCATTCTAACTATAATTGAAGTGAGAAGGAAAAAGCATGCCTTAGGGATCCATGCATTTTGTTTATAAATGTCTCTAGTAAAACAGGATTTATTTTGGATAAATTTACAATCTGAGGTATAAGTCCATAGAAGAATGTAATTATGGACTCTTTGTAGGTAGTTCCACTCAATGGCTATGGCAAATGGTTGCTGTCATTGCTTGACCGCATTGCCAGCAAGAAAGATAGCAATGTTTCACAATGGTACAGGATGGAAGAATGGGAAGAAGAGAAAGAAATCAATGAAACTCCATCTTTAAACTCTTCATATAAAAGGATCTCAAAAGAGATTTTACAAAAGGTATGTGGCCTTATGAAACAGGAACACCTGGCATGGTTTGTACTGTTTATTTTTACTTAGCTCTATTTCCTACCATATTTGAAGTCTTAGGATATTACAGTATGTCTTCGCTGTTGGGGAAGTGCATTGCCAAGGTCACAAAATAACCTTTTATGTCTGAATACAGATTTGAATCTTGAACTTGATAATTAATCTCCCCATTAATGCTATAAGATGCAGCAGTGTATGTCCATCTTGTTTTCCTTACAGCTAAAAAATTGGCTTATTCCATATACTGGCAAAATGCATATCTTTGGAACACATCATGCCTTTACAATTATTTATTTGTTTATTTATTTAATTTATAAAACTGCAACCAATAATTCGAAGCAGGACTTTATGGGCGGAAAGCAGCATTAGGACTCCGCTAACTCTCACATGACAGCAGGTTGATTGCTCTGGGCCGTTGCTACTGTTACACATGTCCTAGTGACTAGCACATTAGATTACTATAGTGATTGTCCTTAAGCATAAAATGTCAGCTGCCATAACATGCTACCAAAAGGTTGTTGAGAGGGACTAGGTGTTGAGGGTTATAGCACATATTTTGTTTGATTTGTACTGGCTACCAGTTCATTTCCAGTATAACTTTAAAGTACTGGTTTTGACATTAAAGTCTTAACCAGCTTGGCCTTCAAATACCTTAGGGACTCGCTTTACTGAATGGGAGAAGTCAGCAGAGCTCCTTCCATTCCATCTGGAAACAAGCTTCTCGGCTCATTTCTGGTTGCTTTAGAAAGAGCCAGCTTCTTGCTATGCCAGAGGTTGGTGCCAATAGCACATGGCCAGCATGGGATAGTGCCCAGTATTTATAATTTTATAACAGCATTGATTCTATAAGGTTGTGTTTTGTAAACATCTTGAGTTCATCCAATAAAAAGGCAGGGAATATATTTTTAAGCAAAATAATTATGTGTGCGCGCGCACACACACACACACACACACTCACACACACACATTTAAATAAATAGTTAATGCTTTTCAGGCTGTAGACCTCCGCATTCTTAACAGGGAAGTAAACTGCACTGAACACAGTAGGACTTCCAAGTAAACATGGAAGTGATTGAATTGCGCATGAAGTTTGTGACCATAGATTTTATCATCTGTAATACAGGAGTAATGGTATTTCAGTGAAAGGCATAGATTGGAGCAAAGCACATAAAAATCAAAATATTAAATAGCCTTTACCTCATAAATATACTTTTTTAAAAGTTTGTTTATATATTAATCCTCTTAAATTTCTTTAAAATTACACTGAATGTAATGAGGCCACTGAGCAGGGAATTCAGAAGTTGTGGTATTTCTGAATTACTGTTAGGAGAGGCAGATTCTTGTTTGTTTTACTGGATAAAGAAGCAGTGCAGCTTTCCATTCTCTAAGGTGGTAGCTAGATTGCAGCTGACAAAGGGTATGATGACAATGATATTTGAGAACCTGGAAACCTTAAAGCATCTGCTAATAGATAGCCAGCTATGGGGAACAGGTTGGAGATGTGATGCACAGTTACTGTTCTCTGGGAAGCAAGTGAATTGGAAACTAGCTAAAGATAAAGTTATGGCAGAGGGAACGGAAGTTTGTGCCAGTAGGGTTACCAACTAAAGCAGGGGGTTAATTCTTGTGCATCATCCATACTGTTGCATATCAAGGCTAGCTTTCAAAATTGTGAAATTCCTGGAAAGGAATTCTTGGAAAGACAAGAAACAGCACATGCATTTTCAAAGATAAAATGCAGAGAACACTCATTCATACACATATGTTACAAGGAAAGGTGACAGTTGTTGTTTTGGCTTGGCCAGTTGTCCAGCCTGGGTGTCCAGGCTAAGAAGGAGGAAGTGGGCCGTGGCTATAGTAGAGATCGTGCTGCTCAATGTAGGTGATGAGTTCTTGTCCCAAATTTGCTGGAAGATGCTAGAGCCCAATCAGTTTCACATCATCTGCTGTCCTGTCTGTGGGCACCTTAGAGATAAATTGCATCAGAAGTCTGATGTATTAAGGACTGGAGGAGGTGGCTGTGTGGTGCATGTCGTTTTAAGGGAACCTGCACGTTTTAGTTCTTGCAGAAGGCCCAGAAAAGGTCTCTCTGCCTTTTAGTGAAAGTTTTGAAGCTGAGATGGTGCATCAGGCAGCTCCTCAGAAATTAATGCTTGCTCATGTACTGAAAATAACCTTGTTATGAAGGTATTTGAGTTGATTGTGTGTTACAGGAGAGCCCAGGGATGGAATGTAAGCCTAGTCTGTATAAGATTGTTTACAAATGTAAGATCCATAAATTACAGAAGAATGGATTTATTTTTGTCTAAGTATAGCTGGTGCACATGCTTTTGGGTTTTTCATCCCCTGTCTAGAACTTTAACTGGAAACATTCAAAAGGCAGTGAAGCTTCTGTACCAAGTGGGAGAGATGGACAATATAGCATTGCATCAGTTTTATCACAGCCATGCTATACAAATGTAAAAGAAGAATCTTCCATCTTCTGTGCTAAACTAGATGAAGGACCATATTTTTTAACAGAATACACTGCACAACAACTTTGCTCTCAGCTGACACTGCTGGAACAGGTATTGTGGGTTCTTTTTTGCTGATTGAAGAAATGGTGTGCACACACCTCTCTATTGCTATAATCTTATCACTATATGAATTACATGTTGTCAAACCAAGTCCCATCCAGCTTCACACCTACCTTTTCCACATTACCACACATGCTCTTTCAACCCTATGCTGTATTATATGTTTAATAAAATCTATCAGTTTGTACCAAATTGGGAAGTGATTTTGCTTTGTAGATTAAGAAGATGAGCTGAGCACAAAAAGTTAGTTAAATTTGGAGTCAGCTGTCAGTCAGTGTTAAAATGGTTGTGAATATATTTAACCCAAATAGTGGAGAGATCAGGTTGAGCAATTGCCCATGATTGTGTGTGAAGAATAGTATCATGGTGTATTCCATATCAAACCCTTGAGATTTCCAAACGTTATGATCCTGAGGTTTGGCAACATTTCCAACTCACTAAAGTGTTCTGGCTGCTTCAAATGCTGCAGATATTATAAGCATCAGGTCTATGCCCTAGTGCTTCCCAAGGCTACTTAGCAGTTCACAGAAGTCCTGAATTAATCTTCCATTGTGTGATTCAATATGGACATTCATGCTCTCTCTTGTCATCCTGATGGTTCTGTGAAATGCAAATATGCAGTTGACACAATAGCCCTTTGCTCGTGTTGTTGTTGCATTTATATCTTGCTTTTTTCTTATGAGGAACTCAAAGTAGCTTGCATAATTTTATTTCATCCTCACAACAGCAACCCTGCAAAGCAGGTTGGGTTGAGAGTCTGTGACCGGCCCAAAGGCTTCCAGTGATCTTAATGGCCAAGTGGAACTGGAACCCAGATATCCCGGGTCCCAAGACTAATACTTTAACCACCGCACTACACTGGCTCTCTCTTGTATGACCCAGTCCATTCTCCTCAGCTTCTCAGCTGCATTCAGAATTGTTGATCAGTCTTTCTGGAAAGGTTTTCTAAACTGACACTGGGAGACAAAATTGTATAACATTCAGTGATACAATATATCAAAGCATTGTATGTTCCTGTCTAGGAAATGTTCCATAAATGTCATCCAGTACACTTCCTAAACTCAAGAGTGCTTGGAGTCAAAGACAAAAGTGTCCCTCTCCAAAGGTAAGTTTGTTGCTTTGTTTAGCCTAGTGATATATTTTGCAATGAAAAACAAGAGTGGAGAAATGAAATGGGGCATTTTAGAGGACAGAAGTAATTTTAATGAAAAAATTGGGATGAAGTGAGACAGGCGCTGATTTTTAAAGTTTTGATTTTTATTTTTGGCATCTAAAGGTAGAAAGGCCTTTGCCAGATCACAGTTTGTAAATCAGATAAGACGGGTCATTGATTATATTCTTAAGACCAAGTGCTTCAGAAATGTCTACAGTATCTGGTTATAACTGCCAACAATAAGCACTGAGAAATATTTGGGGATTAATAATCTAGAGCCCCTCACCTTTCAAGTATAAACCTTGCTTCCATACTAACTCTCCAGCTTGTCATCACTGTGATTTCTTTACTATAAGTTTGCTAAGCTTAGTCTTTACTAATACAAATAAATAATTAGTACTTATGCTTTGTAGATGCTTGTTTCTTACAGATCTTCTTCCTCTGAGTTGTTGCCCACTCAAGTCTATACCCTTTTTGTGAAAAACTGTGTCCAAGATGATTATCTCCTCAAACTTTTAAAGTATGCAGACAATGTTAGTATCTGGGTTGCTGCTGAAATTGTGACAAGCTACAGTTCTAAGGTTTGTATTTTTTTGCATTTCATGATTATTAATTTTGCATACAGGAATAATTCTTTGTGGTTGCTCATTTTTTCTTTGAGTAGGTGCACTGCACTGGATACAAGGAATATAAAATTCAAGAGAATGGAGACTGCAAATAGCAGTTTCCAAGAATGTGATTTTGTGATGACTATGGCAAGAAGAATGAGAATAAAACCTTCCTCCCTGTTTCCTTTGTTCCCAAGGTTGCTCAGGCCCCATGCAGTGGCACACAATATTTGCCCCTTCATGTTAACCCACCAGCAGATAATGGGTTAAAGCTTTGGTTTACTTGACCCTCAACATGTCCCTCAAAGTTCTAAGTTCACATGTCAGATCAAACATGTTTATGAAGATCTATGCAAAACAGAAGTCACAAGTGCAAGGGAGACTGTCTTGCCAGTTGATCAGTTAAACAATCCACGAATTGGCATTACGTGTGGTCAGTGTTGGGTTTTTTTTCTGCAGCTTAAGCCCTAAGCAGTTTGCCATTTCGATAGTCCCAAATTCCTCTTGTTCTTTGTTACTAAAGTAGATGTGCACTCAGTTGTTCTTACTGGGTTGCTTTATTAGTCTATTAGTATAGGAGGATGGTGGTGACATCAGATTACCCAGCATTACTACCCTACTCTGAAGATGTTGGCAGAGATAATTCATTATCATGTCATTTTGAGAGCATCGTAGAAACCAATAAGAGAAGTTCAATTGATTTTGTTGCTCAGATTTTCAGACAAGAATATTGCCCACTCTTCCTTTAACTGCATTTCCTTGTGTATAGCATTTCTAAGAAATGCACATAATTGTTAATTGGTAAGCAGAAAACAAGCAATTAGGAAGCAACAGTTTTGTTGTTGTTCAGTAACAACTTTGATAGACACAGAGCTCCACAGAATGAAGAGGCCATAAAATGCATATTTCTTGCCGTTCTATTTCAACATGTAAAACAAGATTAATTCTATTAATTTATCTATTTCAACATTGTAATTCCTTTTTAGTCCATTTTAGATCTGATAATGGATGGAGAATGCATTTCAATTCATTGAATCATTTGGTTTCCTCAAGGTTTAGGCTTTCCCAGCTGTATCCTTCTAACAACCATGCCTTCCCAATAGTATAAGAAAAAGTACAAAGTTTATTGGTTGTATATATGGCATGAATTGAATGATGATACATTTTGCAAACTATCTGATTGTTTTCCAGGTACAGGTGAAATTACTGTCAAAATTTCTCTCCATTGCAAAATGTTGCTATGAGCAACGAAATTTTGCTACTGCAATGCAAATCCTAAGAGGTCTGGAAAATCTCATTGTAAGACAATTGCCAGTGAGTAACTATTTACTTTGCCATTCATACAAGCTGTGAAGTTTTTATCATATAGCAAAATTATATACTCCAGCTCATAGACTTTTCTTTTATATACTTCCGTGTAGGCTTGGAAATGTTTGCCTTCTAAAGTATCTGACATAATGGAAGAACTAAAGGCTGTTGAGGTACAATTAAACTAATCTTTTCTAGTCACTGTTTCCTAGTGGCCTTTCCTCACTAGATTTTGTACAAGTGCAGAGGCAACTGTTACATGCAACAGCAAACTTAGGATCACTTGGATTGATGCTAGTGTTCTATCTTTTTTTTCTATACAGTCGTCTCATTTCAGAATAATCTGCAAACACTGAAGGGGATGGATGGAAGTAGCACCTGCTGTTAATCTTTCTTGGAAACATTTTTTAAATGTACATAACTTCTTTCTTCCATAAAACCAAATGTCTGCTACTTGCAGGGAGACAATTAGTGCTTGTTAGCTATAATGCAGTCTCCAGCTTCTAAAGAAAAGTGCTATGCAGCACTTCTATCCTATAGCTCTTCTCCTAAAAGCAGGCTTCCTAAGACCAGAAATATTAGATGTAGTGAGTTTTGTTATTCTCCTAGCCTGAGTAACTTCTGAAATGGATTCCAGATAAACTCCATTTGCAATACATTGTATGAGGGTGCATGCAAAGGTGCATGCAAAGGACTTGAGAGACATGACCAATACGCCTTTTTGTGGGATGGGATAAGCAAATATTGTGACTTTGTCTTCTATTGAATTTTGGCATTCAGATCAGTTTGCATGACTGAGTCCAACAAAGCTCTAGATCAGGTTAACCTACATACTTTATCTCCTTCTCTAACCTAGATTCTTTTTTGCTTAAATACTGTTATAGTATCCAATGTGTACATTATAGCATAGTAAAACAAGGATATTGCCACTACAAGAAGATTTGTATGCCATATTCTAAGGTGTCTAAATGTGTGTCTATGCGATTTATCAGGTATTTTTAAAAAGTGACAGCTTGTGTTTAATGGAAGGAGAGAAGTTTAAGACTTCACCAACAATCCCATCAGCCCATGTTCTGGCAATGCATGCCCAGCAGCTTGAAACAGGAGGATTTACCATGAGAAATGGCACATATAAATGGACTAAACTTAGGTAATCTTACTTATAGCTCAGAGATTTTTTAAAAGAGTACAGAACAGCAGAAATCAAAAGTAAAGTCATTATTTTGATCTCTAAAATGTGTTGTTTTCTCATAGAATGCCTTGCATACATTTGTGGAAAAATTATTTTTAAATGTTAAAAATGTAAACTTGTGCACTTAAGCCTTCCTGTGCTTTATCTGCTATTTTAAAAACTAAATAATTTCATTCATTTATTTTTTAAGAAACATTGCAAAAGTTGTGAGCCAGATCCATGCCTTTCAAGAAAATCCCTACGACTTCCTTCCAGATCACCAACTACAATCTTTTTTAAGACAAAGAATAGATTCTCTTAACGATGCAGACATCTCCTCCTTGGCAGCTGACAACTGCACTAATTTTTACCGGATACAAGCTGAGAAGCAGTCCCAAAAAATCCAAGACACATTGCACAGGATGAAGGCAATGTTTCAGTAATTGTTTACATTTTATGTGCCTCTAATATTTAAGATTTACTGTAATTTAACTCTTGGGCATGTTACCAGATTGTGACAAATGTGTCAATGGATTAACAATATAAACCAATGCAGATTTACTTGGAAGTAAGTAAGGGTACATAAGATTGCAGTCTTCCTCTCCATGTGCAAATAGCACTGGCCAAGTTTCAAAAAATCCAAATGAGCAAAATAGGGCGAGCTGTGCTGTGCTTCTTTACTTAATAGAAATTTACCCTTGGAAGATGTTGCAAAAGATATATTCTAAGTAAATTAACAAAATATTAAATTCCTCTACATATTTCTTTTGACTTGAAAGGGAGCAGTTATTGGAGAACATGCGTTCTACAGCAAGTCTGGATATATCTGGTCAAAAGCTGGTTCATTCCAGGCTTTTTGCTAGCATTGATAGACAAGCATAAAGATGTGTGAGGTCCCTCGTGTGGAGGGGATGTTTTCTGGGATGGAGCAAGTTTAGGGATGGCTGCTTCTGAAAGTTCCTGTTAAGGAATCCTTGACTTTGTGGGTCCTGAATAATGGGCTTCATCTTGAGATTGGTAACCAGCACCTTTGTCTCCAGAGCTGTCGGTTCAACTGGCTTGGCTGTCCACTTCCTCATCTAGGTCAAAGTCATGTTCTGCACTGTTGTGGGGAAGGGTGAAGGTCCTGATACTCAGTCCACAAAGACAGTTTCTTGAAAATGAAAAACCACCTATAAAGGTCACATATTAAGAAAAAAGCAGAACAAATATATCTTTTAAGTAGATGCATTAGTCTTCAGAGTGCCTCAGAATTAACAATTTCCAGCTAAAACATAGAAATATTCATTTAATAGAAATGTTCTATGTAACTAAGATCATAAAAAGACTAAACAAGACCTAGTGCACACATCTTCCCATATATAGCAAGTTGCTGGGCATGAATGGAGACAGCTACTACAATACCTATACAAACTGGGCAATGAATACTTTAAGCATTCTGCAGACTGCTACCAGTTTGAATGTTTAATCTGTTGCTGAGGTTTGCAAAACATTAAATCCTTTTAATGCCATATTCGGTCCACCTAGCTACTCCTCCCAGCTCTAAGTCATGTAAGATGGTGCTCCAGGAAGATGGACATAGCATGAGGGCAAAGCCTAGCCCAGTGTACCAACATTGATTTTTTAATGGTTCTTATGTCACAGCATTTTTTATGTTGAAGGCAAATGTATTCCCTATTTACTGATGTTAGTCGGTATAGAATTTGCACAAAGAGCTGTTTTCATATAATTTTGTACACTTTTCATTTCATTTCTTTTGTGCACTATCATTTTAACTGGGCTCGTGTTTGTTATTTGTAGTGTTTTCATATACAGTGGTACCTTGGCCCACGAACTTAATCTGTTCCATGACTCTGGTCATGTCCTGAATTGGTCACGAGCCAAGTCAAATTTCCCCATAAGGTTCCATGTAAATAAGGTTAATCCATTCTGTAAATATTTTTTAATCACAAAAATTTGAAACAAAAGAATAACAAAGAACAACAAAGTACCAAAGTACAGTACAGTAGAGAACACTAACTTAGGTGCGGGGGGAAGGTTATTGTTTGGAGGGAGAGTCCAAACCATCATTGTGTGATAGCGATCGTGCTTGAGGGAGGTTGGAGATGGCTGCGAGCACGATCGTGCTCGTGCAGTGAAGATGGCCACGATCATGGTCATCACCCAATGTGGAGTTCACAAACTGAGGCAACGTTTTCTGAAATTTTTGTTTGCAACCCGATTTGGTCACGAACTGAGGCGTTTGTGAGCCGAGGTACCACTGTATTTCATATAAGTATCTGTAGTACCTACCGAATGTGTAGGTACTTTTGAACAGTTACCCTATTCCAACAAAATAAAAAACAATGATACAATAAATCTTGGTAAAAGCAATCCAGTGGCCTCTAGATAGCATCTGGAGGGGCATAAGGATTTTTGAAGTCCTAGCTCCAGCTTGCTTTACTACCTTGCAGAGATACATGGAAGGAACTACACCAGCTGTATCTCTGAGGTTAGAAGAGTGACCTTGGAGAAGGGCATTTGGGAGCAGGGAGGGGTAGAGACTAGCACAGTCAAGATACACAGATTCTGGTGGTTCAAAGCACTGCAGTGAGAGGGCTGAAATCACTTCCTTCTCCTGCCCTGCATAGGATGCCTGCAATCATCCATGTTAGGGGGTTTTGGGCATCCACACACCCCCTCAGGATTATACCCTTAAAGTGATGTATACCTATTTTTTTCTGCATCACAAGAAGTTTAAGTTCAGTTAATTTACATACTTTTGAAAAAGGAAGTGTTATGTACAAGAAATTAAGCATTTGTTTGTAAAAGTTAAAAATGTCATCCATTCATAAGAAGGCTGAAGCAAGTGTAAATTACCAGTGTAAAAACTATAATTAGAAAATACCCTATTTTTCTATGTCTCAGTCACTGTTTCTATATTGTATGAATATGACTTCTGTTATCTAAAATTATTTTGAGATTCCTGGTGATGAAATCTACACATCCCATTCCAGTATTCAGCTTTAAAACAAACTGCTAGTAATTTATTTCTCTTGGAAGTAGCCATATACTGTAACAAAATTCTTAAAACTATTTTAAAGATAATTTAAAACATGACAAGAAAATAAATAATTTATATAATCCTTGTTGCGTGTGTGTTATTGCTATTGTTGTTTGTGTTTCACTTTTATGTAGCCATGAAGCCTGTGGAAAAGGAACATTATTCCTAATGTGCTTTAAAAATGAAAATCAAGGTTTCAATACTATTCAGTTGCATTGGTTTACCTTAGACTGAACTACTATACCTATAGTCATCTCTCCAACTTCCCTAATAATATGACAACTAAGGACAACATCATATGGAACTAAATTATGTCAAGTTTGACTGTTGGTCGATCTAGATAAGTTCCCACTCAAAGCTGGTACGGTGTCTTGGTGCCTTGAGGAGAACTTTCCAAGATTTGCTGCCTGAGTTCCTGAGCCAAGGATTAAACTTAGATGTTCCTGAGTGTAAATCTAATACTTAAGTTATAGCCAAGGTTTAACTGTGGTTTAAAATCTGTAATGACTCATTAATGCATGAGTCAAAGATAAATCACTGAACTGAAAAGGAGAGGGGGGGTCTTGGAGCAATTTCTCCTTGTCTCCAAATGATCTGTCTAATTGAGGTGGGCACCTACTGGCCATCCAGAAGTCTTGGTGTACAACGCCCTGATCCCACATCACTGACTTTGGTGGCTAGGGCTAATGGGAGCTGTAGACCAAAGCATATGAGAACCAAAAGTTGCCCAACCTTAGGATAGAAGCTATCCAAAGGGCTGAAACTATTTGGAGAGGCATTCAGTACCATGGATAGAGCCTTTAAGGTTCTGAGTGGTATGCCACCCCACCAGCAGTGGAGCAACCAATCTTGGGTGTGCAACGCATTGCATGAAAATGCAGCCCCAAAGAGTATCAATGAGCAGAAGCCAGGATTGTTGCAGTGGGGCATGTGTCTTCTATTTAGAAAAGGGCTTATTATGAGATTACTATTTTATTACATTTTTCTCCTTGTATTATACAGATGAATGGGACCTCAGAATGTTGCTTAATTCAAGTATTTCAAGTAGAATCCATGCACAGTATTTGCAGATGGCAATGTTAATTCCACGTGTCTACTAGAAACCCAAACTCTGAGAAATCCTATTACCGAGTTCTTACATTTTCTGCCTAAATGTGTGCTTTTTCTCACAGGTACAATCATGAACGTGCACACATTGTATCTATGCATCTTCTCATTTGTCTTAACTGAAACTGAATTTTATTTTCTTATTACATCCTGAGTTTATGGAAACTTCCATGGAAAATACTTGTTTAAAAAGATGTGACATGGAGGTATGCCCTATTTAGAATAATAGAATAGTAGAATTGGAAGGGGCCAGAAGGCCATTGGGTCCAACCTCCTGCTATTGCAGGACACTAAGTTGCACCATCACATTCAGATGACTGTCCCAACGCTTCTGAATGACTCCACTGAGGGAGAGCCCACAACTTCTCCAAGTAATAGGTTCCATTGTCATACTGATCTCACAGTGAGGAAGTTCTTCCTGGTGCCTAATCTAAATCTGTTTTTTAAAGTCCATTATTCTGTGCCCTGCATTCTGGAATGAATGAGATCTTGTCCTTCCCCTTTGTGACAGCTTTTCACGTACTTGTAGAGTGCTATCATATCACCCCTCAATCTTCTCTTCCTGAAGCTGAACATGCCCAGTTCTCTCAATCTTGCCTCATAGGACTTTGCCGTCAGTCACTGAATTATCCATATTGCCCTCCTCTGTGCCTTTTCTAGCTTTTCTGCATCTTTTTTTTAAAACTTAGGTGCCTAGAACTGAACACAACACTCCAGGTGAGGTCTGACTAGTGCTGAGTATAGTGGAACTAGTACTTCCCATGTTTTGGAAGTGATTCTTCTGTTAATACATTGCAAAATAGCATCTGCCCTTTTTGCAGTGGCATCACATTGTTGGCTCATATTTAGCTTGTGATCTACAATCAACCCAAGATCCTTCTCATTTGTAATATCGTTGAACCAAGTGTTCCCCATCTTGTAGTGGTGCATTTGGTTTCTTGTTCCTAAGTGAAGGACTTGGCATTTGTCCCTACTGAATTTCATTTTGTTGCTCCTGCTCAGCATTCTAGCCTATTGTGATCACCCTGTATATTTTTTCTATCTCCCAGGTTATTTGCTGTTCTACCCAGCTTTGTGTCATCTGCACATTTATCTTCCCTAGTACTCCCTCATCTAAATCATTAATAAAAATCTTGAAGAGTGCTGCTCCCAGGACAGAATGCTGTGGCACCTGCTTGTCACCTCTCCCCAGTTTGAGAATGTGCCATTGATGAGCATGCTTTGAGACCCAATTTGCAAGTAATTGTGGGTCCATCTCATGATTGCACTATCTAGCCCGCTTTTTGAAGTTTTGTGGGGCACTTTGTCAAAGGCTTTGCTAAAGTCTTGATAGATTATGTCCACAGTGTTCCCACAGTCCATCTGGGAGGTTACCCAGTCAAAAAATGAAATTAGATTTGTCTGGCAGGATTTGTTCTTGAGATATCCATGTTGGCTTCTAGTAATTACTGCATTGTCTTCAAGGTGTTTGCAGACGGCTTGTTTTATAATATGCTCTAGAATTTTTTCCAGGAATGATGTCAGACTAACTGGTGTAAATACTATTGAAAATTGCTCATTGTATGCATATAATAATACAGTGAAAACAAGTAAGCAGTCCTTCCAAGTTATATGGTGAAATGATGCATAAAATGATGTAAATGTATGAGAGGGATAAAAGCTATGGAAGAAAAAAGTGATACTGGAACCCTAGAAGAAAAATGCAGAGGCTGTAGAAATCCTTGTGGATAGTGCCATAGGGCTTCATTTTTAAATACTTTTTGTTCAGAATGCTTTTAGAGAACTGATTACAGCAACACAAGGTGTCCTTTTCCTTTCTAGTACTTAGTAACATATTATTCCAGAAGGTAGCACTGTAGAACCTTTGCAACTGGAATAGTGACAAAGTCCCTGGGAGTGGCTTCACATCAAATCTGAAAAATAGGCTTTCGGCATATTTAAAGCTTAGCAGATTTATTGGGGCTTAAGAATGCATGGAAATCAATACATCTGTGTTAGTCCTTGAATGTGTGTCTATTTTTTTTAAAAAAGATTTGCTGTACACATTTTCAAGATGGAATGAAATATATACTGAAGTTCCATTATTAAAATAAA